ACTTGTAACCTACTACCGTACCGCTCGCGTAGACGTTAACTGCGCAGACAAATTTCATACGCTCAGACGCAGGGTAGTTGGACGCGTATATACGATTTTTTTGCGCTCACGGTCGAAAAAATGCGTAATTCATGTGCCTTTGTTATTCGGTGCTATAATTTTCCCATATATTTCGTTGTTGTGTGAAAAAAAAGGACTTTTGGGTTTGAAAAAGCGGCGAGTAGACAATGGAAAATTTACATAATGAAAAAAGCAATCATGTTACACTCACGCATGTTACTCTTCGCGAAATTTTTTGAATAACGAGCAGTAGCAGTAGATTTGTTTGATTTGAGTTGTTGATGAATCGGCTGGGAAGGAAAATGTCACTTACCCAAGGCATCGAAACACGAGTTTCATTGAGCGAGTAACGAAACATATACTCACTAATATCCTTCTCAATTTATTCACTGCAATCAGCGTTCCCTAAGATGTTTACGCTGCGGAATGTGAACAATGTGGTGTTTATATCGCAGGTGATGATTTCTTCGAAACTTTCGACCTACCTCGATCATCTTCGGTGAGGATTAGAAAGAAAATGTGCTTTTTAAGAATGAGAATGGTGTTCTGTTTTATTCATTGCAAACAGAGCCCGCTTCAGTGTTTACATACCAGAATGTAGACAGTTTCATTTCGCATCGCTCGTGATGTTTTGCTTGATTGCGGAGCGCATCATATTTTAATAATGATAGGTCAAGTCATGGTAAATCGCAATGTCAAAGACGAAAATTCATCTTAAAACCGAAAACGCTTCGACATACTACCGTTCATTATCATATTATGCAAGCGTCTGTCAGTAATGTCAAGATCTTTCAAAACAGACTCTAAAATTTGACATCAACCCAAATATTTCATTTACATAACCAAGCTTAATTCACTGTATAAAATCAAACAAAATAAAATGTTAACGATAAAAACTTCGAAAACAAACAGAAGTATTTCAATATGTTAATTTACGCGAGCCTGTTCGGCAATCTTTCTATTACGTATCCGTCTATAGCTTTACGGCAATCATCCCTGTTCTTGTTGCGTTAACGTTAACGGAAAAAATCTAAAGATTATCTCTCTTATCCTTTCCATTTTAAGTGGATCAAGCGGAAGTTGAATTCCAACCCCCCTAACATTTTGTCCATCCAATTCGAGCGGCAAAAAGAAATGGCGTACAAGATGAACCGCAATTTTTTTCCCAATGTCGACCACGACCGTATAAAAGGAGGGTATCATCACGAGTTTCCACTTCTAACTGCGTTGAGTTCGTTGACTCATCCAAAGATGTGGTGCATGCTGGAAGTTCTTGTTGATCCACGACCTCATGGCTTTCAACAGGAGGTGTGGCTGATTCGTTTGTACCACTAAGCACTCTAATTAGCGCGTCGAACAGCTCGTTCAAAGCTGTTTGTTGTTCAGAAATACGCTGAAGCCATGGGACTATTTCTGAGTGGCCGTCCGGGTGGGTCTTCGTGAAGAGGTTTCGTGGCAAGGAGCGGAACGGACTAAGTTTGTGTGCTGGTGACACTGTTGGCGTTAGTGGCGACAGAGCTGGCGCTAGTGGGGATAGTGATGATGGAAGTGGAACCGGTGGTAGTGGTGACAGTGATGACGGAAGTGGTGTCCGTGGCAAAGGTGCTGGGATGGTGCTCTGGATGACAGGGGTGTTGACATTTGTGGTGGCAAAACAGGTTAGGAAGCGCGTAAAGAGAAACAACGGTGGCCTATAAAATAGATAAAGGCGAATTCCGAGCGAAAGCGAGAGAGTAAGAAAAAATCGTTTTATACAAATTATTTAGCAATGGAACAGATTATTAACGACAGTTCACACTCTATTCATCCGATGTAACGAAAACGTGAACTAAATAAATACTTTGAGAGAAAAAGTTTCGACCTCGGAAAAAAATTTCTTTAATCTGAGTGAAGCACGCTTTTTTTAGGCATGTAAATGTAAAGCTTTTATTTGATTTTGGCACTCACGTTTCATTGTTATAATGCTAATTAGTTAACAGAGGCGGGCCAGTTCATTAACGATAGTTCACACTCTATTGATCAATTGTAACGCAAAAGTGAGCTAAAGAAAAAAATTTCTCTAATATGAGTTACGCATGCTTTTTTTTTTAAGCATCTAGATTTAAAGCTTAAATTTTATTTTTGCACGCAGAGTTTCATTAACAACTACCAAGCAGAGGCGGGCCAATTCATTTTCTTCGAGAAAAAATAAATTTCTTCGAATTCACAAGGTAACTGTGCATACATGTTCTGGTTCCTTTCTCTTTTTCTTTTTCTCTCTTGATTTCTCATCCGCGACCAACTGTTTCGCTTCTTGGACGTGCAGTTTTTAGTTTTCTCTATCGTTTTTTGTTCTGTCGGAACAGAATGAACTGCACTGGATACGCCACTGATCTAAAAAGCGGCAGTAAATGAAAAAGAAAACGTAAAGCGATTAACAAAATGTATAAGATAAATTTGGTCTCAACAAATATTAAAAAAAATTTAATGCGCTAAGACAAACAAACAAGTAAATAAATACACAAACAAAGACAAAAATCCCGAGGAAACGAACTGCAAAAAAATACGATTTGTTTTGACATTCCTTGCCGTAACCCAATCCTGCAAGGGGTGCATGTAAGTAGCTCGCCTTCGAAACGATAAACAAAATCAGAGGCACGTAACACAAAATACGTTGTAAACTTCCCGTCAAATTAACGGTTCCTAGTAAAACACCATTTCTGTCATTTTAGTGCCCAGTATAACGTCTCATTTTGCCGAATTTTTGCTTTATCATTCACAGAAACTTTACATAAGATCAAACTCAACTGAACAACTAATAGCCTCAGGCAAGACAGGTCTCCCGCTTACAGAGTGGAACGAGCCGCGAAAGATCGGTTCCTAACCCCGACTCTCTCGGCATTCGCTTTGCTGAACGGCAGACCAATCGTCAAGTTGTGACTGCTGGTGAAATCGCTTTCAGAAATACAGCCGAAGAGCAGCTTTGCTAAGATTAAAATTCGTGTTAATGGAACGGAGGATGCGAAAGACGTATTAATAGCTTATCAAAGGGCGTTTAATTATAAGTGGTTTCATGCTTTAAGTACTGCAAATCAAATCAATTATTTTAATTAAAGGTGCTCTTTTACTTAGTGATAAACATAGCTACTTTCCTACTCAATCGTTCAGAAAAGTTTAAAACAACGGCTTCTCAACTGAACTGTTTTGTATGATAACAACTGAGATCGGTCACTAAAGGTAAATTCCTGGGTGACGTAAATAAAATTGCTTTTGTCAGTCACAAATCATATCATTCTCCTGCATAAATTTGAAGACATTACGCCGGCCACGTGTCGTGCGACATTGCCTCCACCGACGCTAAACAAAGATGGCGTCCGTCGAGACAATCTCCGCTTCTGGAGATATTTCTCCTCGTTTTCAAAAGCTTCTTCGAGGAGTGTCCGATGAACTCAGCCCCGAAGGCATGCTGTATCGTCCATAAAAACTAATTTTAGGGGCAAGTTTGAGGATCAAGGAGAACAAGATTTGTACTCATGCCTCCAATTATTTGCTCAGCAGGGTCTTGTATCGGAGGACAATTTGACTTTGTTGGAGGGGTTTCTAAGCCCGAAAACGTCCAAGAAAAAGTCGCTAAAGGAAAAAATTCAACAATTTAAGGAAAACCGCCAACAAGAGGTCAGTCCTGGAAAGGGAGAATCAGGTTTGACCGGCAGGGAACGTGACCTAAAGGAAGTTATGGCAATGTTGACATCGGGGAGTTCGTGTGTTATCAATTTGCATGGAATTAGTGGAGTAGGCAAGACGAAATTGGCCATGGAAACCATTTCGAAGTGGCCAGGGAGGAAATTCAAGGCTGATTTTAGAGACATCACAGAGATGGAAGACGTTCATTTTCACGTTTTAAACGCTTTAGCACCAGACAAAACGATCATAAGCTTCGAAGCAAATCCAGTAGTTGAATTAATGCAACAGGTAAGGCAGGCAGAGCAACACAGTGACATTTTGCTGCTCCTTGATAACGTCGATAAATTTGCAGGAGGAGATGATGAAGCTTCCACCTCCCTTAATGCCAATTTTGTGACGTTTCTGCAAGGACTTCTAGGTCCAAAGGATTATCCGGGGAAATCGAAATTGAAGATTTTGTTGACATCAAGATCAACACTTCGTCACGCAAAGTTGGCCAACGTTGACAATTACGAAGTTACGGCTTTAGAGAAAGCTTCATCAAGTGCTCTATTCCAAAGTCAGAGAATTGGCAGCGTTCGAGAGGATCAGATAGAGAAACTACTGCAGATATGCCAAGGGAATCCCCTTATCATAAAAGGAATGGCAGCAATATTGAGGCAACAAATAGCAGATGACACCAGGATTCTGGAAACGATTGAGCAGCCACTAACATCCAAGCCACAAGAATCGGGAATACCACCAGTAGAGGAGAGTGGAGAGAGAGACGTATTCGACTCTGAAAAGGAAGGCATTGATAAAGAGCAAGAAAGCTGTTTGAGAAAAATGTTTTTCTTCTTGCCAAGTAAACAGTTAAAAGATTCTGCCATTTCGATGTCACTGTTCTGTCGCTCTTTCTCTGTCGAAGCAGCAGCCGAAGTCCTTGAAGTGGACTCTTCAGAAGCTGTTATACAACTAGAAGGTCTCAGGAATAGTGAAGTGCTAACGGTAGACCCTGATGTGAAAGAACTCACCTATGACATCCACCCTTTGGTGCGAACATTTCTGAGAAGCATCGGTAGTAACCAAAAGAAGTTCGTCAAAGTTTACGAGAAGGCAAAAGCCAGGTTTTGTAAATATTTCATGTCCAAAATGGTAGACATTTCCAAGCTTTTGGACAAAGACTACATGAATGCCTTCGATAATTTGATCTTGACAAACCAAACTTTGAACTTACTTTGGATATTTCTTTCAAGTCAGACCATCTTCTTATCCCAAAAGAGCATCGTGGAAGTGTTATGATCTTTTATCTCTTCGAGGCCATGCTTGACGTAAAAGCAAGGAAGAAAATTTTTAATTGCTGGGCCGAAAAGGTCAAGGAAGATGGAAAGGAAGGTAGAGTTTTATTACTTACTAGAAAAAAGTCTTAGTTTACGTAGGGAGTTTTTCTGGATACTTCGGTAGTATAACTTAGCCATCGACTCGATGGAAAAACTAACAAAACAAAATTAACTAAATTCGACTGACAATGACAGTTTACTTGACTCTGGTGGTTACTTTAGCTCAGGTTGTCGAAACTTCAGTCACCACTTCCGACAACGGTCCTTCTCAGGACTTCACTCACCCAGGCGATCAGATCACACACTCAAAGCTATTGAGTGTAATCTGACCCTTCCGGTAAGGAGCTTACCGCCTTATTATTTTTTTCGAATCTGTTCAAACGCCCAAAGATCTTTCGCGATGAAGTTATACAGGGTATTTGCACTAAGATTCGGTATACTTTTTCTCAGTTTTGTTGACCAGGCCCAACAAGGTCGTTTGTCGCAATATACGCATCTTTTTTTTTTTAATCTCGTAGAGGGTAACTTCCTGAATTGGTTCAGGGTTTGAAGATGCAGATGCGTCCCTGCCCAAAGTTTCTCTAAACATTCCTGAAGTTAACTCTCATTGACCTTCTAAGAAGAGATAAAAACGCTCTCTGATTAAGAATGTGCATAAAACTAAGAGGGAGAGAAAACTTGTTTTCCTTGTCTTTTTAGGTTCCTTGCTTCGAGCAGAACTAAAATGCCACGAAACATTGATGGTTCTTAAACTTGAGGGATGGCAGAGAGCATTGACAGTCGCGAGGAGAGCGAAAGAGTTACTTAGAAAAGTGCAGAAGGAAATTAAGAGCAAAGAATCCTTTAGGTTGACCAAGAGTTCCTACCTGTTCTCTAAGGGTGAAGTTTATTACAGAGCTGGGAATATGGCCAAATCACTGAGGATTTTGCACAAGGCGCTGAAGATAATGGAAAATGTACTTCACAGCCACACAAGCACTTCAAGGTGCTTAAACGCCATTGGAAACTGCCACAACAAGCTAGGAGAACATGACGAGGCCATAAAGTACTACATGAGAGCATACGATATGAGACAACAGCTTTCTGGCTCAATGAAACATTTTGACATGCCCCTCTTCAAAGGACAGATCGGGACGGTTTATGAAGGAAAGAAACAATTTGAAAAGGCAATCGAATTCTACAAAGAGGCCATAGAGCTCGCTAAGGAGCTAAAAATCCCGGGCATGCTGAACACTGCTCTGTTCAATCGAAACATTGCTAACGCGTACTGTTGGTTGCAAAACTTTAAAGACGCTTACCAACCTGCAAAGAACGCTTACGAGATCCGGAAGGTCATTTTGGGAAGGCACCCTGACACTGCTCGAAGTGCTTTCCAAATTGCGGAGATTTGTCGAGACTTGGAGGACTCTGACGAAGCGAAAAAGTTTTATGAGGAAGCATGGGAGATTGAGAAGTCTCTAGGCCAAGGAAACCACAGCGAGGTCATGGTCAGCATCGTTGAGAGGTACGAAGCGATTCTTCGCAAAGGAGAGAGGAAAGATCAGTTTCGACAAGAAGCATTCGACTTTTTTCTTCGTCACTGGGACGAAGAAAGAGCCTTCGAAGGATTTGAATTTTCACTCGCCAACAAGAGAATTATTGATTCAGTAAAAAAAGGGCTTGGTGAATTTGGCGACCGTCAAACACAGGAGAGATACCAAAAAGAAGCTCTATGGTTTTATGAAGGCGCTTGGAATTCACCGGACACGAGAAAGTTACCAGACACCAAGAGAGAGGAAATTCTGCAAACTCTCTGTGAGCTCTGTGCACAGCTTTCCGAGAAAAGTAAGGGCGAAAAGTACAGTAACGAAGCCTTTCGATTTTATGAAGAGAAATGGAAAAGAAAGAAGGAAGGAATGTCAGAGCACGACAGAATCGACATTCTCACCAACCTTGTAGAAATGGCTACATCACAGATGAAAGAGAGGAAGAGACAGAAGTATGAGAGTTTGTTAAAGGTATGACAAAGCTCTTTAACCTATTAATGGCTGACATCAACTTGAATGGGGTCTAGTTAAGAGAAAGATGTTTTCCGTCTTGTCACGAGCGTGGAACAAAGAAAAAATTCCTCATGAGGAATCGAACCTCAAACCTTCGGATTCCGCGCCCCGGTGCTCTACCACTGAGGCACAGAGACTCTAATGTGAGCGAGGTCTATTACGAAGTTCTTAAGGGTTTTAGTTTAGTATACATAATAGTACAATCGCTAACTTTCATTAGTTTTTCACTCTCTAATTGGTTGAACCGAGCAATCTCGCGAAATCTACCCAGCTAGTCTCCTTGTGGAACAAATGCATCTTAGACTTACCAAAAGTGTTATCCTTACATTGTCCAAGCATGCTACATTATCCTTGGTGGCTCAACACATTTTGCTTTTTATTAGCCCATTTACGTTACTTAGATTCGGATTAATGGCGATTCTCTGAACTTTTTACCGTTTAAATGCTCACTCAGGGAGCCAAACAGAGCGGAACTTTGATGGGAACCGTGAAAGGATTCCTTTCTCATGGAGCAAAAGGTATTTGATGAGGGAATACTTTGACCATAAGTCGCGCATATATTAAATAACGAAAGACAAAGGCGGTCTCTTGAAGACAATAGTTAAAAACGCCCGCAATTACACTTATAAAAAACGTGGTTAAAAATGATTTTTTATATAAGCATAGTTGCAGGCTTTCTTTTTACTAATATGTCCGAGAGAACGCGGGTGTCTTTCGTTATTTATGAGCATGGTTGATGTTTGGTAAGGTTCGTCTTTCCACGGGGCGTAGGCGAACGATGCTTTATTGTAATTGTTTTGAAAAATGCAGGATTTGCTTTTCACTGATGAATCCTTTTCAAGTAAAAAAAGTTTGTTATTTTAGAAGTTGAACAGCTGTTCAATGAGAACGATGACGGTGACAACGAAGTTGACATTCCTTCCGATGATGATGATGATGATCACGATAGTTCCGATGGTAGCGAAGAGATTCCAGAGGCTAGTCAGCAAGTGCAACAACTAGCAATTCAAGAAGAAGATGACGAAGAGTTAAAAAGTGAGCAGGAACAAGATCCAGATAGGATAAAGATACACGAGTAAGTGGAAATGAATGGTCGCTTGCGTTTGCGCAATGATTTCTGGAATCACCACGGGGCAAACATTGCAAGTTGTTGTAAGGAAATTTTTGGCCGAAGGTTGTTTCAAGGTCCAAAAAAGATCCATTCTGGATAGAGATCGATGCTTTTCCGCTGCATATTTATCATGAATGGATTAGATGACGTCAATACAATGGAACTGTTTGTGTTTTTCAGAATTACCACGAGATTATATGTTATGAAATATACCGATGAACCTCTCTTCTTACCTAAGGCCTATTAAAAGGACACACAAGCAAGTTAAAATACGTTACAGTGTTATTTACAAAACAACACGCGCACACTCTGAAAGAATTCTTATAGTTACGCATTTAACTAGCCCTCCTTTCTGCAAATTTGTTTCCATAATTAATGATTTTACGCTGTTATGGACCACAAAGCACAACTGTTTTGAGCGACAAACTCAACATTGCCTTGCAATCATCAAAATCAACTGGACAAACCCAGCGTGATGTATTGCGTGACGTGTTATGCTCACATGGCCTGTTTCGCGGGTTGCAAAAAGTAATAACTTTAATAACTGACTGAAAAAAAATTAACCAAAAAGGTCTAGAACAGTTATTAGATTCAGTTTTGAGGTTAAGTGTAATTATCTGAGCAAGTTTCTTACTTGCAATTTTAATACCCTTGTCATTGCTTACTCCACTTGCACAAAAATGCTCTGAAAATGCTGGGTGATTAATTTTCCTTTGTATTTCAGAGGAAAAATCGGAGGTAAAGAAGACACATGGCACATAAGGGAAGCGGGTGCCTCTATCCAACTTTGCAGTGAGGCTATCCAACATCCCTTGCCATTTACATGTAGATGCTTACTGTGGAACCCCAGAATCCTCTCCCCACCCATTGCTAATGATGAGATATTGGTTAGCAGTGTTATTGAACTATCTCATGATGGCCCACCAGATCTGGAGTACAAGGAAAGTGTTGAAGGAACAAGATTTACAGTAGCTTTGTTGCACAGTGCCCCAAATTTGGAGGGGTATGAGGTGGTTATCAAGCAACTGATTGACCAAGAGAACAATGAATGGAAGGAATTGAAGACAGAGAATACTTGGCATGGATCAGGTACCATTATGTTGTTATGAAATGCAAGTGTGAATAACTTATTGAATTATATTCTCAGGCTCCCTTTTTCACTGGTACCAATGTCAGTATCTGAGCAATTGTGCACCTCCCCTCTCCTAACCCAAAATTAACCCGAGCTTGTAACCTAAACTTAGCAGTTGACTATTATTGGCTTAGGGGAGGAGTAGGTGTGCACGGATTCAGATACTGATGTTGATCTCTGCAATGCATGACCTCCGAGCTACACTCATAATGTCCAAATACACTTCTTGCCACTTCATGAGCATTAAAAATCCAACAGAGTTTTTATTTTTTTTATTTTACCTGTAGTTGCATCCAAGAAGTACGCGTAATTATGGCATAGATATTACAAGAAGTCTACAATGCATTTTAATCATTTTAATATAAATTTATCTTAATCACCATGTTGTTGCAGAATTAATTCTTTGAAGCAAAAGAATTAAAGACTTGAAGACTTCAAAACACGGCTGAAGGAAGCAATTTCAACCATTATTTTTATTTTCACGCAGGAACTTCAACAGTTCCCCAGTGGCTTTTCCCGTTTGCACAAGCTGTTTGTACAAAATCAGCAGTTTCTTCATTTGCTGCAATCTGGCGTCCTAAGTCTTTCACCTTTTCAAGAGGTACTGCAGTAGGTCCGGAATTGACCTGTATTGTGCCTGAATTTCCTGATGTCAGTGTCCAAATTCCTCAGAGTTGTGTGCCTGTCAATCAAGATTTCTGTGTCACAATCAAGGTACATGGAACTTTAAAATTCTATACATGCATGAGTTCTGCAAGTTTTTCATTTTCCAGTTTTGAAAGTTGTAAGATTGACGTGAGGGGATTGTCTAAAGCAAGGAGATATATAACACAAAGGTGTTACAAGAGTATAGCCTATACCCTCAGTTACTTGCCATACATTCCATGAACTTGGTGGCAATATTGATGGAAAGAGAGATATAAATTAACAACTTTAAGGTAAATACAGGACAGTTGTGCATGTGCTTTCATGTTTGTGAAGATACATGTAGTAATGTTCTAATCACTAGTTTTGGTAACTTCAAATTATTTGTGGTATTACTGTCCCCAAATGTAGTCATGGATCCTGGCAATTCCCTTTTTAAAAACTAGGTTTTGGAGAACTCATTCTAAGCAACAAACAGAACATTTGTTTTTGTTTTGCTTAGACATAAATGTCAAATTGAAATCATTCCTGTCAGGTAAATTGGTTTTGCGCTTTGTATTAGTTTGCAATTAATGCAGTTAGTGGATGAAGTTAAGAATGATATCATGATGAATTAGCAAAACCAAGGTCTGAGTTATCCGTGGGAGCCAAAGATAACACAGACATAGGGTTTGATGAGTTATGATATCATGCAAAAACTAAATTAAATTATTGTTTTACCATACATCTTTTAAACAAACTGCAAAGGAAGACACTTCTCTCTAAATTTACAAAAGTTTAAGAATACTTCACAGACAGTCAGGGCTTGGAAACTAGGTTGAAATCAGGTTGAAATCGACATGATACCTGCAATATCTGCTGCAGATATCGGGTTATTATAATGATAACTTCACACTTAATTGTATATTGATTGTGTGCTCCTGACCAATCAGACTTTTTATGGTAAGTCCAATATATACATTTTTTCATAACAATGCTTATATTGCTATATAAAACTTTGAGAGGACATTTACATTGTGTACTATAGTTTTAGATAGTTTTGAAATTTCATCTTGAAATTCTCTTTTCATAATGTAAAGCAAATGAACTTTATGCTGGGAGTAGTTGAATATGTCCAACATAACTTGTTTTGCTTTTAAATCCAGGTACAAGAATTCCCAAGCAGTGAGCTAAAAGGAGAGGGAGGACTTGTCGGTCCAGTTCTTTACATTTCAAGCTCTCAAAATGTTACTCTCATCGCGCCTGTAACAATAAGGATTCCTCTTACCCTCCATAGAGGAAAACAAGAGCCAGCAGAGTTATGTCCTGGTGAACTGAGGATATTACACTGTGAGTCTCTAGTTGAACCACATGACTGGAAAGACATTACAGATCAATTGGATGAACCGCCGCGTCTTCTAAATGGGAAAGCGCAATTCAAAGTTAGGCATTTCTCTGGGTAAATATTTATTGTCGGCTTTATTTAAAAAAAATACGCAAGACGTAGAGGAAATTTAACAGTATTTTAGTGTACAGTCATACATCCATGTATTTCTTTTAGTTCAAGATAGATTCAATAAATAAAATGATTACTCGAGTACGTAGACTCAAGATTAGTGTGCCATGGCTAATAATCATTTCCGTTGGGTTGCTTGAGCTGTATTTGGTTTTACTTTTCTTTTTTGGCAGATTCCGTCCAATCAAGTTGATCAGATCACTTTTACAATCTGCTTCAGGCCTCACAGAGTTTTTAAGGAAACTTTGCAGTAGGTCTAGGCCTCAGCATGCCCGATTTTTTACGTGCTTGTGTGAGACGGGTGTTCGTGATCATTTTGGACTCAAACTTTTTTGCTACCCTCAAAGACTGTATTATGATGTAAAACGGCAAATATCAGAGTGTGTCGTGCCCTACAAAGAAGAAGGCAGCTCTTCTAAACCAGTCTATGGAGAGGAGAAAATTTTGGTGTCTCTTTCCAAGGCAATCATACCTCAGGGCACAGACCAGAAAAATGCCTTACAATTTGTGAGGTATAATAAAATATAATTTATTTTTGGCCCATCAATTGAATACTTCTAAATACGTTCATGCTAGTTTTACATAGAAATGATTTATTCATTTCATTGTAAAATTGTACATTGTTCAAATGTCAGTTAACCATTTTTCGCCATGGCTTTTCTAGTTTTCTTATCAATAAATAGAGCCATAGAGGTATACATGTTGGTTTTTTTTGGACTTAATTGTCTTCAAATGCTCGATTTTAAATATTCAGTAGGTCTCTCGTCAAATTTGCTGTCATTTTCGATTGTAAGAAAATATTTCAAAACGTGTGCTATTCTAGACGAAGACTCGACTGGTGTACGTTGGGTTTACCTCATTTAAATTCATTTCTTTTTTAATAGATTCCACGAAAACGAAGTTTATTACACAGCTGGTGAAGTTTGCCTAAGAAGTGAGAGTGTTCCAGTAGTGAAGTTTTGCGACCAAAATCAGGAACTTTTGTGTAACATTATCATGGTGTTAGCGTCTCAAGTAAGTGACATCTTGCGGTTTGTGGATTTGCTAATTAAATGCACTTTTAGCCCAGAGCTAATATAGTACTGATGCCAACCTTATTATAGTAGATGACAATGAATTAAAAGGATTAGCAATGCTTTAACCACAGGCAGCCCAAGCTCCAGTTGTGTGATGATCATCTTGCGAAATAAGAGTCATGGCGAAAATTTTAGTTTGTATGGGAAAAATTACGACCGCTCTTAGGAAGTAAAAATACAGTCAAATTCTCAACAAAAATATTTTACCTTACTTCCAAAGTGCATTTCCTGTTGTCAGACCACTTACTAAGATGAAAAGAAGCCATTTTAGCAAGTTCTTTATGTCTAGGTTTCCTTCTCCTTGGAGCTGTAAACCTTTTTCCGAGTAAGATAATGAGGTCATTTAAGGCGGCACGAAACTTATTAAGGACGAATCACTAGAAAAGAAACACTGAAGAATGTCGAATAGGAAAAGAAATATCCTGCCCACAGGAAACAGTAAATGAACATGCAGGGCCTTGCAAATTTTTGATTTTGTGTATTACTTTTATTTTTTAGTTGCTTTAAAGTCGCTTTCTATGCCTCGGCCTTTTTTCTTAATTATTTTTCCTTTTTCTTATTAATTAGTAATTTTTTTTATTTCCTCATTTCTATTCACCTCATACTCACCCGTAATATTGTAAATTTTCCCTCCTCCATTTAGGTTTCTATTCCTGTCACCTCTGACTTTGAAGAAGGAAGTGGTAAGATGTTGTTTTTGTTGTAGGTTTCGTTGTTGTTCGAATAAATACAATTTACTAGACCAGTCATCTTGTTCTAAAATATGTTGTTCGAATAAATAAAATTTACTTAGGACCAGTCATCTTGTTCTAAAATATGTAAATTCAGAAACATAGGCTCTATGGGTTTTGAAAATGTAGCATTTAGTGACAAAGCACGTGTTCTCAACGGAAAGTCATAATAACCTACCTTACTTCATGTGTCAATAAATCGGGCCGTGCCCCCCTTACGCTCAACAGTGATGGCTTATTGTCTCTGTTATATATCAGTAAACTCAATGCAGACCACGGTGCGTGGGTCCCTCCTTGCAGGGAATTTGATGCTGAAAACAAATAAAGCACCAAATAGCTCGGGAAAGATATAGAGAAGTGTAATTCTCCAAAAAATCATTCCGTCGGCTATATCGTTAAAATGATGGCCTTATTGCTTTTCGAATGAAATCTTGAATCGAATATGTTTCCATACAACGACCCCCTTCGTCAAATTTGTCAATGCTCATTGTTACTTATGGGAGAAATCGTCAAAACTTACTACTTTAATTTGTGGACGCTGAGTCTTACCCGTATGATCACAGTCCAGGATCACCACATCAAAGTTTCCGAACCATATGTGCCACAAGACTTGCATTAGTTCCCAACCCAGCCATCTCATTAACCCCATTATTATGCAGGTATTTCCTCCCAAAGTGTGAAACATTCAGTTGTAAAGCGTCCAAATTCAGAATCATCGTCATGCAGCCCTGTTGCAGCTCCTAGGAAGAGGATACGCCAATCTGCAGGTGGTACCGAGATTGAAAATGCGCGATGGATTTTCCTTTTTAATTGTATTTTTTTCAAGTCTGCATGTTGTTACGCGTTTATTTATGGTAAAATTTGTTTATGCAGAAAGACTGGCATTATATTTATTATAAATCCTCTTTACCCACTTATATAAGAGAATAAAAAATAATGAATTAAAACTGAGTGGGCTCAATCCAACACCCGTATATCTTGAACAACTATAACCTACTCTAGCATTAACGGCTGGAGACTATAGCTAGGAGACGTCAATGACCTCCATTTTCAAGATGCTTGTTGGGCCATACGCAAAATAAGAGGTCAGAAATAGATAATGAGTCTGGAAAACTTTCTAAGCGTTTTTTTTTTTTGGTTTATGTATGGATTGGGAAAATGGTTCCATGCCGCTGCAAATGTCCCCTCGCTCAAGCTTGACAATCTCTAGGGCAGACGATTCGGTATTGAATGATGCCAAAAAATGAGAAGTCGCCTTTCGCCGCAACTGTTCGCTGTTCGCCAAAGCCTTGAAGCATCCCTTTTCTAATTTCTTATTCTCCCTCTGTTGTTATCCTCAGGTATATATTTGGTTAAAGATGGGGAACCGTCAAATGAGGAGTTGGAATATCTGTCTCGGGAACTTGAAGGAAAATGGGACAAATTAGGAAGGCGCCTGGGATTCAGCCCAGCCGTAATAAGAAACTATGATGTAGACAACCCGAAGTTGGCAGATAAAGCTTTTAACATGTTAATAGATTGGAAACAAGGACAAGGCAGCAAAGCCACTTACACAGTTTTGCACGATGCCTTGTGTCACAACTTGGTGAATCGTAAAAGTCTAGCAGAACAGTTTTGTTGCGATAAGATTGAAGGCAATGCCTCTCGTTAGTCTTATCATACAAAGACTGATCGTTTCTGTATTACGTCAAATATATTTGCGAGTACTCCAAAGAGCGTCTGTGTCGAGCATTCATATGTAGTAGGTCGTTCGTTTTCCTTTCGATTCAAGATAGGGAAAAAATATCTCTAAAGAAAAGATGTTTACTCGTATTTTTGCACTCAAGAACCGCTAGCTAAAGAATACTAAGGTCAGAATTCACTCAGACGTCCAGAGCGATAGAGCTGAATAACGTCTGCGCACGCGCCATGCTTTGGCGCGGAAAACGAATTTTGAGTCGTTTGCACGTTCGATTTTCTATGCTATAGATTCTAGGCGTTTTTTCCTTGCTGCTTTTTTTTTTTTTACAGAATAACTTCCAGAAAAACTTCCAAAAACTTTGTACACCCCCTAGATATTTTCAAAATTTAATTTTTTTCTTAAAAACACTGGAAATAGGAAAATGCCTTCAACGACAACAAAATGCCTTGGTTTTAAATGCCAGCCCTATTTTTTGCCGCAAATTTGGCTGAATTTTAACCTCTAGCGCTTGAGCCCGTGTTATTGACCGTATAACTGATGTATCATTTTGTTATTTAGCTCTGTCGTCCAGAACATGTGAAGCACATTACTACCCTCAAGCATCTTATTTCATACTTCACAGCTTGAAATTAGAATGTATTTTCTCCTTATTATTCTCTGTGCATTTCCTAAGGAACAGACAAAGAGAATTGGTTTAACAATTAAGAGCTTCTTAAGTTAGTGATCAGTTACTATATTCTCGTGTTCTTAATTTTTGATTTAGGTTGACACTGTAAGGAAAAATTAGATGCTAGACACTATTTGAGTTGAATTAATCGTTTGTGGTTAGCTTGAATTAACAGCGTAATTTTGTACAGAGTGAGATTCCCCTTGTCTCAGTGTGGTGGATAAATATAAAACGTGTAACGGCCTTAGAATGGAATTTGTAGATGCTGAGCTACCTTTTTGTTCTTAAAAAGTGTGAAAGTTCAGCAAAAATCAAATACAAAATGTCTCTTTCTCAGGCTCAACTCCCATGATTCTTTGTGGTTTATAGAGGTTTCGCCCCATTGAAAGTTCAACAACAAGTTCACCCCTGCTTCGACGAGTGGTCCCTGTCAAATGTAATATAGATTTACATAGCCAACCCTAAAAGCGGAGTTCCAGTCAGTTTATTTTCCAGCCCTTCAACTTCTAAAAATTCCTATGCACTGGCTCTCGAAGAGTTAACGAGATGTGGAACGGAAGGAAGATATTCTCACAACTTGCAAAGTGATCAACATATCAACATGCGTGCTAGTCAGCGGTATTTTCAAACAGCTGAAGACTTTCGTTGACTTTCCTTATTGTTTGAACGGATTGTCCAGAATATAGAATGTTTTCTTCCCTAGATGCCTGTATCGGTTGAAATGATATTTTATTGCCCGCGTTTGTTAATTTTGGTTTAGACAGAATGAAACGACGTTAAACGACTTCGAGTTAAGATCTAGATATCACCGGTCCATTAAAGGGTTTACACGCGGGATCAGTAGTCACTGAAACAATGTGCCAGAATCGTACTTAGCATCTCTTATACCTTCTCCTGATGTCGCCATTTATGACTGTTTACTTCAAAGGTTTTTCTCTAAACTGTCAAACTCCTCTGATAAGCGTAGAAAATTGGAAAGAAAAGTCACATTTCAACTCGAGTCGATGTTTAAATTCTCTTCTTTCAACTGCTCTAGCTCTGGCTGGAAAGACCGATGCTGTAATTGTATATCAATGTACATGTCTTTAAACCAATTATCCTCTATCCTGGCAACCCTAGCCACTGAAATTCTAAATTTGTCTGCCATCTGGTTCTTACGCTGCGAAAGTTAGATTTCAGTGAAGACAGGCTAGAGCTAGAATATCTTTGTGCATAACAGAAACTAATCCAAAGATCAATCAAGTTTTATATTTAGTTTTAAAGTTGAGTCGATGTTGTTATTGACCCATGAAAGAGATTCTCACATGGTAGCCTCTATGAAATTCTGCCCTGGAAACTGGAGTTGTGGCAACATCACGGTTACCATGAAAAACAACAATACATTTTATTGATCTGAAAAAGTATTCATTTGACCATCAACTAAGACTTTCACTGGTTCACTCTGACAAAATTTTAACATAAGGGGTTTTAAAAGGCTTGAGTATTTGTTAAAATTGGCCAACTTGATGCAACAACTCAGGATATACATTGAATGCACACTTTTTTTAAACATTTTTTCATTAATGCAGTTACCTGCTGGCAAAACATTATGATATATTTCAACCCAACCATTTTCTTATGAACACCATTATCAAATAATTATGCAGGTACCCAGGCTAAATAGAAAAATGTGTAGTATATACAAAATGTTTTAAATGCCACATTTAAACTAAGCGAACGGCATTGAGAAGAGTGTATAAGGGAACAGGGTCGCTTATTTCTCTCATTCATTTGCTTCTCACACCTGTTACGGACTAGTTCATGAGGCTGGGCTGTCAGGGCGAGCGAGCCATTAGATTTAAGGGAAATGTTAATTAGGAAAGTGATTATTTTAGAGCCTGGAAAATATCATTGTGTAAAGCCATACAGGTACTAGCAAACTCATTCTTATAAACTAGTACGAGGAAGGATACAATATTTTACTTCATAGATTTAATTCACAGGCTGTGCACAAAAATTTAATTGGGCTATTAGAACTAAAATCCCTAAGGAATGATAAAACGTAGCCGGGTTAACACTGAAGTCGCCTTTAGCGCTCAAGTCGTTGTTTTCAAATGTCGGTTTTTTTTGCGAACTCAACGTGTATGGTATATAGACAATGGCTCCGAGAAGCCGAATTAAGTACAAAGATAATAGATTGAAAATGACTGAGATCGTTGCAAAGATGCTTGCGGCAAGGATGCGTTATTTCCAGAAATAGAAGAAAAGGTCGGAGTTGCCCCAGATGGCCAATACTGAGACAGGCTTAAACATGGCTAGAAATCAAGGTCAGTCAGCGGCTGATGTCGCGGACGCAACACGAGCTGCGTTTCACCTTACTGCGTCTGCGCATCCCACTAAAATCAAACATCAAAAGATGTCGGAAATTACCTTTTACAAAGCCATTGCCATAGGTGTGATTTCTATCATTTTTCTGTGTCTTGATAAAATCATGCCACAATTTCAGCAAAGGGTAGGGTACGTCCACAGCTAAGATGATATTCCTTGTCACTGTCTTGGCAGCATAGGCTAAAGAGGGACTTTCAATCCCCAACTTCCATTTTAAAAAAGAATCAAATGGAGGTGTATCAGACATTTTGCAGCGCTGATAACTTCTTTATTATTTTCTTTCCGAGATATTGCTTGGGAAGCTGTTAAAATCTTGCCCAAGTAAGAAGCTTACTATTTTGTTTTTCAAGTCAAATTATTTTCGCGCCAATGCTGCAATCTATGTCAATCTTTGAGCCTTCAGTAGCTGCCCTGTAGCGGTATTGTCCATAACAGGCTAGGTTACTATGTTTTTACAAAATGGCGATCGAAGAGTTCTTTGATATGTTTTCAGATCTTATAATTTTAGTTTTTGAGTCAACGTCTCTACTGGGAACAAGACCCATAAGAAAAAAATTTTTTTTGGACTTTTGGAAGTCGTTTGGCAGCGTGGATTCACACTTTTATGACTTCAAATAGCCTTCAATTAGAAGGTCGGCTTTCGAAGAGATCGAACAGACGTGGGCAATTGATAAAACAACCCTTGTTGTGGCTGCAGGAGAAGCTTTAGCTGACCAACATAAGCCATTTTAAGACATTTAGGGCACCAAAAAGGTTTAAAGTTTCTTCGACTGGGGCAGATCGTAGCGAAATCGTAAGAGTTTGAGAACGGAGGTAAGTGATCTGGACACTCTTCTAATACATTTCAGACTAGAGCATTTTTAGTACACGCTTCCAGAAAATTACTGTGTCTGATTTTCAAAATTTTCCCACAGAAAGCCTTATGCAGCCGCCATATTTAAACTCCGTATTATGTCTTTTATGCGCATGCTTAGCCGCCATGATGTCTTCAATTTCTAGCCATGACAACAGATATCAACGTCGCGATATTGTGACGAGTCGTTCATAAATTTAACAAACGGGCAAACGAAGTCAGGTTGAAAAGTTTTTTTGCCACACAAGCATTTCACGCCAAGTTTACTGCAATCGTGGCAATTATTCGATGGACCATGCCTTTAGAAAAGGTTTTCCATCTGCCAAAACCTTGTTTCAATTTTTTTTCCGGTTTTGCTTCAGTAAAGGCAGAATCCTGCTGTGAGGAGACTAAATTTGGCAACCAATTGACAGCTGACAAAACTTAAAAAAATAAACCATTCATAATTTTTTTCGTCCTTAAGTTTCCTACATTTTGGTTTTGGCAGAATTTTGTAAGCGTGTTTAAGAAGGCTCTAAGATCTGTTTGTTTGATACGCAGCTAGTACGTATCACAAAGACAAGTGATTCCCAACTTCCGGTTGTAGCTCAATTCATTTCCGCTTTGTTCCAGGATACATTGTGCGCGGTTAAAGATGGCGGACAAAGGAAAATGGAAATTTACCCGAAGCAATTAGCTCATAGGGAAAAGATTACAGAAGAATCTCAGGCTTAGCGAAGCCTCTTGCTGATTGCAAAATAGAGGTAAGATTTTAGTCGACTCATCGTGTTCACTACGCACAAGTACAGGGCGTGAAATTAACTTTTTTTTCTGATAGCCACTTGGCTCCTAAATTCTTCAAAGTGGTAGCCAATTAAAAAAAGGTTGGTTGCCATATTCAAAGACAAACAAAATCTTTCTTTACGCTGTCAGCGTTCTAGATAGGCCCTCCAAAATTAAGTCAGGGAAAAGATCTTTAACGTGCTACAAAGTGGACACTAGGATAGATGATATACAACGTTTAGGCTTATCTAAATCCAAGATGGCGTCTAGTTATCGATCGAGATGCTATGTTTTGGAAACAAACTTAACGAGGAAGTTTGC